CAAAACCAACAACTTGACATATGAATGACACCTGTTTGTCACAGAACCTTTCTTTATTGGTGTAAATTTCTAAGGTATTGCTCTGTAGATGCTAAAATATGTGTTGTTTCTATTTCTTTTGCCACACAAAAATTGATGAACAAGATGCCAAAACCAAAAAAATTAGTTAATAATTTTTTGGTCAAGTTGTTTCCAACATGCACACATTAGTGTAAAATTACATGTATCTGGGACTCTGGGACATCCATACACGCATTTTGCTTTCTTTGCTTTGTTTCTATCTTGCCATAAACCTAACATTGATTATGAAACTAGTATTGTGAACGGAAAATTTTGAACTGAGTGATATAAAGCACAACTTCTTGGAAGAAGCCTGTTGATTTCACTCCTGCAATTGTCTCTTTGTTGGGTGGAAAGATATTATTCTTCTGCCTCCCAAGGTAACCACCGAAGAAATATACACAGAAGCATTAACGGTCAATGATATGCCTTTTGGTCACTAGCTATATGTATTTTCCCAGTTCAGTTCCCAGTTTCGATAGATGCAAATACTTTTGCAAAACATGTAAACAGCTGGCTTGATTTAAAATGCCAAACACAAGTTTAGGGTTTCAACTTGTATTTTTATAATCAAACAAAAAGCTAATGCCAATCACGGAACACTTTGCAACTGTAAAAAAGGCGCAATATTAATTCATGGTAGGACACCTTTAGTCGCCCTCCCCTGCACCCCTTAAATGCTAACTGCAAGCACACAGCAGTAAACAAATGCTAACCACAAGCAAACAGCAGTAAATAAATGCTAACGGCAAGCAAAAACAGTATATAAATGCTAAACGCAAGAAAGCACGGTATATAAATACTTACTGCAAGCAAATGGCAGTAAATAAAAGCAGTTATATATGTTCCATGAATTATATCCTGAAAAAAGGCTGTTATGAATGAAAAACACCTCCAGAATGCGGGCCAGCAAGGTAAATGTCTGCAGCTAAGCTCTAATTTATTCTCTGAGGAATATTGTGCCTAATGCTGTAGAAAGTGTGAAGTTTATATGAAATAATTCATATATGAACTACGGTTGTAGATGAGAGTGCAGTTAATTTTCCAATTTAAGCAATGGAAAGAAGAAGCCTGAAAAACCTCGCTCCCAATGTGTGGCTTCATAGCTCAGTTGGTAGAGCATTGCACCGGTATCGTGGAGGTCACGGGTTCGAATCCAGTTGAAGCCCTGATTTTTTAGGGCTTCTTCTTTCCAATTGCTTAAATTGGAAAATTAACAGCGATGATCATTCTTCACTCGCTGTAGAAAGTGGCGCTTTTATCTTGTTATGGCTCCAGCAGTGCCCACAATACTAAGCAACTGGTTAACCAAACATGGCCTGTTTTCATCAAGCAAAATTAAAAATGTTGAGACATATTTCCAGTGTTGTTTACATTATTGTGATGTGTGGCTTTGTGTTAACATTGTAATAATGCTACAGTATTGTGCAAAAGTAATGCAAGCAAAATGTGTGAAAATTCATCTTTGTTCCCACATATTTTGAAGAAAGTTTGAATGGAATTTTATGGCATATTGAGTGATAATTCGTTGGAACAAACTTAGGAGGAACTTTCAATTGAAACACACCTTTCTGTAGCCACGCATTTCAATCGATGATTCCTGTGCTTTTGCAAAATGACAGCAATATATATCATACGCCAATACAGCCTTAACTTCATAGACAAGGGTTATCAAAGCCTTCTTTGAACATTAAGGTTTTTGTCTTCTCTACTTTTATAGAAAACCAGAATGTTGTCAAAGCGGAATGCTCATAAAACCATTCAGCAGTTGTTTATTCCATCCCAGCCCCCTTGTGGTTGTTTGTTAAGGTACTGGGTATCTTCAATCAATTCACAGTTACTTAGCACTGTTTTCATTGCCTTTGTAGTATTCTGTTGGGACTCTAAAACATAAACAGGGATAAACAATTTTGGAAGAGCTTCATTACAGTAGTACAACCACGATTTGTTGCTAACATTACAAGATTTTACCCTAGGTGAATATAAATATTAAGCTTTGCTCATGGTGAGACCTTCACATGGTGGATGAAATCATGGCAGTCTCACACTTTGCCAGCTTCTTCTCGATCTGGTGGCTTTTCATGTCATCATTTTTGCATATCTGTTGATCTATAAATGCTTTTACATCTGTAGACAGCTTTGCTGATCTTCCCTGAAGTGCAGTAGATTTCCCACATAGCCAGTAATTGTGTGGTTCTGTACATTGTCAAAATGGTGTTTTGGCAAGTGTATTCAGTGATTAACAACAAGTGCTTGTATCCATCGGAACTGTGGTTTTGGGGTTTTAGATAAGTCAACAATTGAGCATTCCTTATGAAATAACCAGTTGAGTTTCATAGCTAACAGTTTGTTTAGTTGTGATGTTATTTTGGCAGATAAACGGCTTCTTTCCTGCTCAATCTCCAGAAAGGTCATTTATGTATTTCACTTATAGCTTTTAGACTATTGATAAACAGAAGAATGTTAAAAAAAATTGCAGCAAATTTTTAAGAACAGGGAGTTTAATCATTCAAAAAACTGCAGTGAATTTTTGAGAGGAGCAAATCATCGCTTGAAAATTTGTGTAGCTCAAAACAACAGGCATCATGAAAATGTGGGGAAATTTTGGCGAAATTTATGTGCATTAGTTTTGCGCAATATTGTACAACATATTGCACCAGAAATCTAAACTAAAATCTAAAATCATTTAAACCCCACATAATTCATTAAAAGAAAAAAAGGCCTTAGAAAGTAAATTGAATCTTCACTAAACTTTCAACAAGGTGTCATTGGTAAATGTTACAGAATTGCGCCCATTGAAAAACATCACACAGGAAAATGCAAATGAGCGAAAAAGGAGACAGAGAGCATGCATTAAGCCCTGTCAATCAAGTAATCCTCAGTGTAGGTCATTTTCACGAGCGTTGTTCTAGCTCTGACTGCTCAAATTTTTCCCTATTCATCGGAAAAGAATAAAAGTAATTAGACAGTGTGTTTCATCGAATATAACTTTATGCCACCGGTAAGCAGAGATGTCAGATGACATTTCAATGTTCTAGGGAAAAAATTCTTGCTTTTGCTACTTTTACTCTTAATTTGTGAATTGATATTTAAGATCAAATGTTCTCTTCATTACAAGGTCTTCTGGAAAGTCAACGTAATTCGATTTATCTTAATTGGTCGGCATGCATTTATCAGTTGTTTACATTCTATGCAAATTTATCAGATGGTGGCACGGAACTACAGTATTGTGCAAAAGTAATACAAACAGAATTTGTCAAAATTCATCCTTTGAATAAAGATAAACGTGTCTAAATTCTTGGGCTTTTTTTGTCCAATACTTAAATGTACTGAATGGATAAATGAATACTTAAATGTACTGAATGAATTTCTTTAGTTTCTGAAGGGATTAGTTACGACCTAAAAGCCGAAATGTTCAAGTTAAACTAGCCGGGAAGAAGAAAACATCATTGCAATTCTTTTTGCATATTAGAATTTTATATTTTAAAATATCAAACGAATTGTTGCTACTCTGCCCAATATATGAGAATATATTTTCTCTGAAGAAGTGGCCAAATATATATATAATGGGATAATGCTCCCTCAAAATCACCTTTAGTTTATACTAATGTCCCATGCTCTGTAAAAGAAAGCACATTTCAGTGAGGCCAAATTCAAACCCCCAAAATACCTTATTCATTTTTATTTTGTTTTCATTTGCAGCTTGCATTTCATGATTTGTACAGTGTATTTTGTTTTGTTAAAATAGAATTGCAAAACTCAAAAACAAAAGCAGCAATATAAATTTTTGTAAAAAACGCTCCAGCACTTGCATGGATACGCCAATTATTGAATTTGTTTGACCATAAAAATAGTATTCTTCCTCAGGCATGACCTGATCACTTTGCTGAACACTTATTTCCCAAATTTGATTGATGTTAGACGATGTTAGTGTCTTATTGGAAATCTCTGCACCTGGACCCCTCCCCTAAATTTCTACAATTCACTCCAACCCTCCTTCCCCCCCAACCATCTTCCCCAATTGAACAGCAGCACCTCCAAGCATCAATGACAATTGATCAGGATTTCCCAGGAAAAGCATCGCATTGCAACACGTTTTCTATCTCGCTGTGGCATTGAAGAGAAAGACACAGGCAAAGTAGCCAAAGGCAAAAGAAGAAATGCATGATATAAACAATACCAAATAACATGAAATACTATATGAGCTCCAAGACGAGCATGCACCATGAAAATTTCCCCTGACAGTTTCGTCCACTTAAGTAATAATGACACCTTCCTGTTTATCAACTTAAATTGAAAGTACATTTTTTTCTGAATAACTTAGCTGCTTTTTTAGATTTTTAATATATTTCTTTGTAAACTTAAGATAAAATGACTGACTTAATTTTTTTCAAATAAAATGAAGAGATGACTGGATTTTCTCAAGGGGTACATTGCATTGCGCTTTGATATTTTGCTGTGAAAGATTACTGGCATGGTTTTGTGTAAACACTCTATGTTCTGTTGATATGTATAAGTATGGCCTTTTCAGATGAAAGTGCATTTCAACACTAATTGCTCCAACTGTAGCTGTGTCAAAACCCGTGGTAGCCTTTGCAACCTCATTCACAGGTTGTTGCACCTGCAAAGCATCATAGGTACCCCGCTTTTCCCAGGCGACGCCTTTCAATGGGCGGCATTCTGTAATGCAGGCCATTAAATCTCTCTATTGTTAACATTAAAAAGTGCAGCACTCAAACGTTGGGTTGCTTGAATTTGGAAGAAAAATTCATGGAAACAAAGAACGTAATTTGACAAATGTCACTCACATTACTTTTGCCTGTCACTTAGCAGATCTACATTCTGCATGGTTGTAAGTGATAATGTGGTTTTGGTTACAATTATCAGTATCCAAAAATGACACTTTTTTTTCAAATTGCATTTTTAACCATTTTTTTCAGAGCAAACAGAAACCCAAAGAAAATGTTACTGAATTCCACATGGTGACACCAGCAAGGAGGCGAGAGCCCCGATTTGGTAAGAGAAGAATTGGATCACACAAACCTTTACCACTTAAAGGATATAAAAAGAGGAAAGCTGAAAAAGCAAAACCTTGTTTCAGCTCCTCATCAAACGTGTTTTCTGAGAGTGATATATCTTGTTATGATCAAGGTGGAGCTGAAAGAAATAAAACTGACGAGGATAACAATGAGATTGAAGATGAATCTGTTGACATTGTTCAAGATTCCCTGACATTTGCTGAGGGTACAGAGGTGTGTTATGTACCAATTTCTTACTTTCAATAATTAATGCAAAGTTCCACTTAATTTAGTGTCAAAGAGGAAACAAAAGGGTCGCTAGCCCACTTTGAAAAAGAGGCCTGGCCTGAGCGTATTGGATTGAGGGCTTACAGATTTATTATTGCATTGAAAGAAATTTACGTTATTTGCCAGCTTGGAGGTGAAGCTTCAGGCCATACTCAAGATAGAGGGCACAGTTTTTCCCAATATGGACAGACCTAGCCCTGCAAATAGCATATTTATTTGCAACTACTAGTGAAAACTATTTTACACTATTTTATTTTATTTTATTTTGTTTTTAAACAATTTTATTTTAATTGTTTGATTTGCAAGTGCTAGTGGTTTTGTTTTCACAACTGTGTCATTGAATTGCCTTATGTGCCATCCACAACCCCCTTTGGGAAAAAACTTTGCAACGGTTTAGATACTAGAAACGAGAGCATGTTATAAAAGAACAGACTCCTTTCTTACTACTGACTGGGAATATTTGTTGCATTTAGTTCACCAGGTAAGTTCTCCAAAATTGATTTTCCGGTGTGAAATTTTGTGGAAAGTGTGTAGTTGTACTGCAAAAACAATTTCTCTCAGTCATTGCAAACCACTTGGAATCAGGCTCTTATAGCGTAAATTGAATAGCAGAAAGCAAGGAAATTCATTAAGTGTATTCCACAGAAATTCTCTTAAATACAGCAATGATCAGACAGGTAAACTCTACCAAAATTGACTCATTAATGTGCTTATGTGCAATGAATGAGTTTAAGCGATGTGGGCCTTCAAATGGGAATCTTGCGTGGACTTTTTATCTGTGTAGACTTTTTAATGGGCATAGACAGAAATTAAATGTTGATTAATTTATGCTGATGTTGACTGGAAATGATGGTGCGAGAAGAAAGAAAGCAAAGCGCACTGACCAGGGCTTGAACCTCTGCCTGACTTTGGTTGCTGGATTTCAAGACGAACCCATTTATCCAGTTGGCCATCTCAACATTCCCGTGTTGCCTGATGCCAAGAAACGCTCCATATAGCTGGGGTTACCACTGGCCATCTGAAAATGACATGTCGTCGCTGGTTGTTTTTACGGATGTTGTCCATGACACGCCAGATGGGATGTATAATGTATTGGTTGTTGACAAACAGAGTGAATTTGGTTGGAAATACTGAAAAATTTTAGAATTTGAGGAGTGCAAATTATTTTCAAAATATTCCTTCATTGCGATTGTTACGGGCTCAATGAGTGTAATTTAGCTCCTCAGCTCGAGGCAGCTATCGTGGATTTTGGCTTCCTGGCCTGCTTTTGTGATTTCTGGTGAGTAAATATTTGTTTTCTTTAATTGTTTTGAATTTGTTTTAAGCAAAACTTCCAGCCCACACATCAAATCGAAGTGACCCTGGAATAAACTAAAGCCTGTTTCAGACTTCGGCCGGGTTTATGATCGCTGCCTGACAATTGCTGTAAACAGCTAGCTGTAAAGCTCCATTACAATGCTACTGAAATGCCAAATGAATACTATTGCTTTATAATAATGGCCCTAAGTCAAATGTTACCGTAATGTTCCGATAGTAACAACCCCCCGAAATTAACGTCAATTTTTTGTGGCCACTAGTAAATCCCAAAAGTATCGACCCCCCAAAAGGAGTGACCCCCCCCCAAAAAGTAGCGACCTCCCGAAAGTAGCGACCCCACCCCCAAAAGAAGTGAGACCAAGTGTTTTAAAGTGCACCTAACCCCAAAAATTTTTTTCGCTAAAATGAATCTCCTTGTTATTTGAAATAGTTCTGCGAAAAACTTTTTGGATTCCGTTAAATCCTCGATTTTCTGTGCCCCGACGAAATCTCGAAAATAGCTCCA